TGTGCTGAGGTGTGCTGAGGTGTGCTGAGGTGTGCTGAGGTGTGCTGTGTGTGCATGCAGTGGGGGCTGCTGGCAGGCAGTGCTGGCAGGGCCAGGTGCACGGGTGGGTGAGTGCTGTCAGTGTGATGTCAGTACAGACAAAATCTTGAATTGAGGTGCTCTGGTAAGTGACGTCTGTCTTTGCTTTTGCCGTAGTTCTGGTCCCAAATTCAACAGTGCCATCAGAGGGAAGATTGGTCTGCCTCACAGCATCAAATTAAGGTTTCTGAGTTTTCTCTACTTTTTATTGCATCGTTAATAGGTTTTGTTTAAAATAAGACCGTTATGCTTGAAGTGTTTTGGTAACCTTGTTCTTATCTCTTTACAGCAGACGGCGTTCCAGAAGCAAAAGTCCCTTCAGAAAAGACAAGAGCCCTGTTAGGTAGCTATTTTTATATGCTTTTTTTCCCCCATCGATTGAAGGAAGAAGTGTAATGATGAAATAGTGTGTGACTGACTGCACAGCTATCCAATTAAAGTCACAAGTGATGCTGGAATTCATCGTTCAGGAAGCCCAATAAATGAGAACATGGAGAAATGTTGCTTTTTTTCCCGTGTCATCCCTTCCCTCTCTCCAGTTTTTGGAGTACCATTGTGAATAACATCAATTTGCAAAATGTGTCTGGCCTTAGTTTTCATGTTTTTGTGTTAATTCTAATTTAACTTACCTAGCATTCCTACTAAATATTACTAAACGCAGAATGGAAAAGTGCTGCTGTTTTTTTCCTACCCATTGTTGATGTTATTTGTGGAGTAGTAACCGAAATCCAGAAAGTGCTTATCCATTCTTAAGCTTCCCAATTAAGGAATTTGTATTTAGATTGCTGCTAATTAGATTTGTTTAAATTTAAGTATATTAATTTAGAGAATAGGCTTGCATGGTTTTTATTAGCAAAGTGAGATAATTTAATTGATCTTTCTTGTGTTTTCTCAGGAAGATTTTAAGATATAGATATATCTAAATAAATACGTTATGCTACTGGAAGCTCAGTGTAGAATCAGGCCTGCTAATTCTATCCTGTGCATAAATGCAAGCCAGGTTTTTTTTCTGCTGCTCTTTCCAGTTGAAGCTTTAACGTTTCAAATGTAGTGTGTCTGATTGCAGCTGTTGTTCAGTTGAAATCAGCACTGATCCAGTCTGTGGGATGGCAGTAATTATTTGCTATTCAAGTGTTTGCTTTTGTGGGAGGAGTGTTAGAAGCCACAAGCGGTGAGGACTGGGAGCTGTTGGTGTAGATGTCAGTGTTTGTGCAGTGCCTGGAGTGACTCCTGAGTGACTGGCTATAAATAACTTAGTTTGCAAAGCTCATCTGAGAGTGCATTGGTGTGCTGATTAATGCTGTGCTCTTCATTTTCCTATCATCTTTTACCACAAACTTGTCAGTATGGTGCTCTTCTCTGTTCGTGACAGTAGCAGAATGGCAGCTCCTGTGTAGCTGGGGCTTCTGAGTTTGGAATACTGATTTCCAGTCATACTCAAGTTCAAGGTGAAAACAGGAAGTTTAGTCATGTTAAATATAATTGCATTAATATTAGGAGTTCACCTCTTGGCACCTACTTTTTTTTTAATATTGCAGGTATTTGTTCACTGTTTGACTTCAAAATGCTTGTGTTTAAAGTTTCATGCATTGCAAAGGTTACCTTATTCAGATTTTTTTTTAAATGCATCTTTCTTCTTTCCAGAGAACCTATTGATAATCTTACCCCTGAAGAGAGGGATGCTCGAACAGTATTCTGCATGCAGCTAGCTGCAAGAATTCGACCAAGAGACCTGGAAGAATTTTTCTCTACAGTAGGGAAGGTAAGTAATAAGGAGATTGAAGAGATTCTGAGTACTTGGTCAAGTGTCTCTAGCTAGGGTGGGTATTGTGCTGAGTGACAAGGAGGAGTCTTTCAGGAGAGTCCTGGGGCGTGCGTGATTTAAGGCTCTGAGCGTGGGGAAGTAACTGGTCAGTTTACTGTTGGGTGTGCAGTGTGATGCAAAATGCAAGGAAGCAGCTGTGGTTCAGATGACTTCATTTTCAGAACTTTGAGTCTCCTGCAGGTAATCTGCTGCCGGTTGAAGTGTAATTTCAATTTCAACTTCCAGTTTTGAAGAAATAGCATTTTTCAGCAGTTTTACCAGCTGCAAGGTTCTGGCTTAAAGCATTGCAGCGCTGCAGGTATCTGCTGACCTTTTTCCTAAAAAAAATACTGCATTTGACTCTGAATTGTAGTTTTGAGTGCTAGCTTTCCTCCAGGATTTGTTTGTTCTGAGGGTTTGATGCCACCCAAGATTTGCAGCGTAATTACGCAGCCATTGATTGATTTGGCTGGTAATTGCTTGTTAGTATGTCTGAAAGTAAACTGCTTCAGCTTCTTTCCTGGAGCAGCTCTGTCTGTAACAGTGTGTCTGTGCTTGTCTTTCAGGTGCGTGATGTGCGGATGATTTCTGATAGGAATTCCAGGCGTTCAAAGGGAATTGCTTATGTGGAATTCGTTGATGTTAGTTCAGTGCCTCTGGCAATAGGACTCACTGGACAGAGAGTCCTGGGTGTACCAATCATAGTGCAGGCATCACAGGTAAGGACTTAACACAGTTAAAAGCTTGGTTTTTTTAACTGGTGACTTGTTACCTTGCTGGAAAAGTTGGTGTTTGAAGTTGGTCACCAATGAACATGCAGAAAGCCTTACCAGTAATGATCATATGGTTTAAATGTAGAAATTGACCTTGGTTCCCAGTAGCTGACGTGCAAATCAAAGGTGCATTTTGAAAATACTGGTGTTAATAGTGTTACTTTTAAAAATCATAATATAATAATAATAATATACATAGTGTGCTTTCCAGCAGATGTGTGAAAATCAAAATGACAGTTTACTGAGTGCAAGCCAGAATTCTGCACAAAGTTGTTCAGCTTGAAGATTTTAGGGAATTACATCTCTGTATTTGGTCGTGGTCTTTGCTTTTGTATTTTGAGTTGACTGCCTGGCCGTGCAGACTATAAACCAGTTGAATTTGATGGAAGTATTTTTTACTTATTTTAGGGTTTTTCAGTATTATTGTATTCGTACAGAATTTACCAATGTTTTTTCTTGTTTTTCTTTCTCCCCGCAGGCAGAGAAAAACAGAGCAGCAGCAATGGCAAACAACCTGCAGAAGGGCAGCGCCGGCCCCATGAGGCTCTACGTAGGGTCGTTGCACTTCAACATCACTGAAGATATGCTTCGAGGGATCTTCGAGCCCTTCGGCAGGGTATGCTGTGATTTGGCACTGTGGGCTTGTGGTTGATCTGAGCTTTCAAACAGCCCCTGGAAAAAATTCAGTCTCACAGGCACCAAACGTTTTCATTTTCTCACTGCTGTGTACCTACATTCTGCACCACAAGGCTGTAGGCATTGAGTTAGCATTTCAGAACAAGTAAGGGCCTTGACTGGAGACATGGTCCAGTGATATGAGTGTAGGCCTTATGTTAGAGAGCTTGAGAGTTCAGTGAGTTCCTGAAGTTCCCCAGAATCAGGCCTTGGTCTGGTTCACAGTGAATCTGTAGTAGTGTAATCTGTTTCTGAATACTTTTTTGTTAATTAGTAACTCGTGTTGCCAACCTTTGCTTTGTCACCTGCTGCTGTGATGTAGGCTTCTGTCTTTACACTCTGATCAGTGACTTTCAGTTTATAGCATGGTAATGTTTCCTTACAATTATGAAGGTGACGAGATTGAATCTGAACTTTCCATCTTAAAAAAAAAAAAAAAAAAAAAAAAAAAAGTTAAACACTGGTGCAGCACTGTGCTGACTGTTGCATTGAGGGTATGTCAGTATCAGTAAGGAGAAGATAATACATTTCATAAGCTGCTTAGGTATGTTTTTTATCAAGCCTGTTGATGATGTTCATATCGTTTTAGAACAGCAGCCTTGTTTTGTACATTCTGTAACCTCACTTTTTAGATCTTTGTTCAGTTTTTTATGTGTATCCCTTTAATTCTGTTATGCAGAAGTCTGGAACGTCGCAGCAGTTGGTTAAATTGTAATCCATGTGGCTGCTCTGTTGTTTTCTCCCGAGGTCTGGCAGTAGGGTTAAACAGACCAGGAGGATTTACAGATAGCTGTGCATGAAGGTTTTTCTTCCCAGTCTTCGGTTCAGCTCTCTCTTCAGCCACTATTGCATGGCTCATGGATGACTTTCTCGTGTTTAAATTCAGTAACTATGGAATGTTAGGGATTACAGTGTACCTAATCATTGAAAACAGGCACACTTTTCTTAAAGCCCCTGGCCAGTCATGCAAACTGCTTTTCTTCATAAATTGGGTTTCCTCAGCGTATGGGACGCCTTGTGTTGTTTCATGGCCTTGGTGTTTACTGCTTCTGTTCGTGTGTCAGAGCGCACATCTGCTTCTATGCTAATGTGTATTTGAGGGAAGAATTAAGAACTTAAAACCAAAAAAGAACAAAAAAAAAAACCAAACTTAGTTTCTCATGTGTATGTTTGTCAGGACTGTACATGTGTGTTATTTGATACCTTGTTCTGTTCCAAACTGTTGGAACAAACAGGCTTATTCTTTTTTTAGATTGAAAGTATTCAGCTGATGATGGATAGTGAAACTGGACGTTCCAAAGGATACGGATTTATTACGGTATGAGTGGGGTTACCAGACTTGTTGGGCAGCTTTGAGCGTAACCTTCTCACATAGCAGTGCAGGTTACTCAAACCTTGCTTAGAAATTTCTGTTGCAGGATGTGCAGCAGTGGTCTGTTTTTTTTCTGCCAGTTCTCTGTGGGTGATGTGATTAAATGATGCATGTATACAGATAGGAATAGCATAGCTGATGGTCAGTGCCTGCAGAGCAGTGCTATTCCTGGCGGGCGAGTACACCTGCCAACACTGACTTTCTCATAGTGTCATTGAAATCATGGAATTACAGACTTTTATTCTTTTTTTTTTTTTTTTTTTTTTTTTGGTGACATCAAATTCCAGAGGCTGAAATTTTTGGTTAAAAACATCTTCATCTTGGCTCTCAAATACCTAATTTTGTGAGTGGAGCAATTTGTGATGAAAGCAACATCAGAGGCCTCTGGCACTTGGAGACCGATGAAACAGACTTAACTTCATAGCTAATATATGATGTCTTAACACAGACAGCAAACACGTGTTTTTGATTGGGTGTGTGTCCTGACACAGATCATCTGCAAGAGCAGCCAGCAGATGCGTGGTGGTTAGAAATTATGCAAGTGGCTACTGCTCTGGGAAGGTGTTGTAAGGCAACCACAGCCATGCCTTCCACAGACTGCAGTGTCTGTGTTGTCCAGCTTCAACAATAGTACATACCCTGCGTAGAGGAAAGTAGATATTTTGCCTTGCTTGTGTTTGGCTATAGCAGAAAATATGAATCACATTTAAGGTTGCAGCAGCTGCTGTTATGTTCAGTGCTTTCCACGTTTCTGTAGCTGTGGATGTTTGATGTGATGAGTGCTGCTAAATATCGTTGGCAGGATTTCTGAATTTGTGTTTTTCCCACCTGCAGTTCTCAGACTCAGAGTGTGCCAAAAAGGCTTTGGAGCAGCTCAATGGATTTGAGCTGGCTGGCAGGCCGATGAAAGTTGGGCATGTAACTGAGCGCACTGATGCTTCCAGTGCTAGCTCGTTTTTGGACAGCGATGAGTTGGAGCGAACTGGAATTGACTTGGGAACAACTGGTCGCCTTCAGTTGATGGCAAGACTTGCAGAGGGTATGTATGGTGATGAACAGGGAGTCTGCAAAATCCTGTGGCTTTATGCAGCTTGAATTAATCAGTGTGTTGGTGCTTCCTGCTCAGGTACTGGGTTGCAGATTCCCCCGGCTGCACAGCAGGCTCTGCAGATGAGTGGGTCGTTGGCATTCGGGGCTGTGGCAGGTAAGAAATGATCGCCTCCTTATTTGCCCAAAGTGCTGGTCGTACTTGATGATTTTGAGACAAAGTGCTGAATGCATCTTGCGATCTTTTAAGTTGGGAGCATAGAACCACAGCGCATCTTACAGGTTGAGGAAGTTCTCAAATCCGTGGGCAAATAAACAGTGGCAGCATGTGTCAGCTTTGATGGATATGCTTCACTTTGCATTACTTCTGCTGAATCTTTGTAGTTCATTTAATCATTTCAGACCTTCGTCTCTTCACTGTTCCCACTGCTAGTGGGAGCGTTTATGTTCTGCTGCACTGTAAATATTGGCTGTTAAAAGTGGCAGGCTCATAACTGGAAGAGGATTGACTCTCTACAGAGTCCCTTCTGAAAAAAACAACCAAAACAAAAGCCAGCTGTGCCAGGAGCAAGAAGGTTACTGGTACTCCATGGAGGACACTGAAGTAGCTAGGATCGTGTGATGCATGTCCAGTGAGGTGGGCACTGTACATCAGGGTGTCACGGTGTTGCTTGAGGAATGGCTGTAGCTCGTGTGCTTTGTTGTAAGAATTACCAAGACTTAGCTTGAAAGGATGAGGCTGAGAACTGATTGTGCCTGCTGCTAGTCCAGTAGCTGGCCTGAGCCAAAATGTTCAGGAGGGCTTCAGGTAACTTTTACAGGAGACTTTAATACTGAAGCAAAAGGTGGCAAATCTTTGTAGCAGTAGAAAAGACTTGAGGGATATTGCAGATAACTGGCTGCTGGAATTTACAAGAAGTGTCAGGAGACAAAGAAAGAACACATGCATGGGATTTCTGTCTTCCAGCAGAGTGGCAGAAGGCATTCAGACTTAAGGTACACCTGAGTCACCTTAATGAAGTTCAAGTGCATTGTTGAAAGGAGCGAATGTATGAAACTGGACTGTCCTGAAAAAAAAAAAAAAAAAAGGAAATAGTTTATATCCCCTGAAGTGGAAGGAAAGGGGTCTGAGAAGTGACAGAACGTTGGGAATTGAGAAACGAGTTCTTTATATTAATGAAGAAAGAGGTGAAAAAGACCAGGTGGCAAGGAAGAGGAGTAACTATTCCAAAAGAAGGAAGGCGAACAGCAGTAGCATGAGATCACCTTTAATGTAGGTGATGGTGATGTGACAGCCTTGCCTGGGAACAAGTGTAGTTGGTGAGAAAGGAGGAAAACGTTGCAAAAAAAGCTGTAATCATGTTCTCTCCTGTGTCTGAAGCAGGAGGCCACAAACGTGCTTAAGACATCTAAGTCATTGGAATGGCATTGGATTTATGAGACAATGCAACTGTGGAGGAGTGAATTTTAAGGCTGAACAAAGTTTTTTGTATAATGTGCATGTTTAGCAATTGTAGAAATGAAGGTGGTAGGAGTATCACTGTTTGTTCCACTTGTATTGTGCATAAGGAATAATGCAATTATGTACAATTTGAGTAACTGTGGAGAAGAATAAAGCTTTTTAGAGTCATGAGCTGTCCCCAAAGTGAGATTTGGTTATGGATTAAAGATCTCTTTACTCTTGTTAGAGAAAATTACTACCAGGAATTATGTCATTGTGGGAGACTTTAACTTCCCTGATACAGATTGGAGAAGAATTGCTAGTAATAATGGTGGGGCCCAGATATTCCTGGATGTGATATCCGACAAATTTCTTCATCAAACACTCACTGACTCATGAAGAAGGGATGCTATTTTAAACTCATTTTGGTAAGTAATGAAGATGTTATGGATGAGAACAGCTTTGACCATTGACTGAGTGATCATGAATTGCTCAAGCTTAAAAGGAAGGATAAGGCTTGTGATTTCAGAAGTGGTGGTTGAAGAACTGAGGAAATAAAGTCAGCTGGTCTGAGCAGCGTGAGTGGATGAGCAGACAGGATGTAAGAAGTTTCTTCAGTTCCAAAAGCTAATGCTATATTGGATCTGTATCCTACAGAGAGAAGAGACAGTCCTGTTAAAATTGGGCTCCACACTGATCTGGGTAATGAGCTCCAGAAAAATACAGGATAAGCACAGAGCCTGTGAAGAGTAGGAAAAGGCTAATAAAGACAATAAGGCAATAAAGAAGGCAGTGCTGTTAGTAAGTGGTGCGATGAGAATTGCTTACCCAGAGTCAGGTTACGATAGACTTTGTGAAGATAAATGAACAAAAGGGAAGTGTAGATGAAGATTTGTCAGATCTTGAAGACAACAGAAAAGCAGGGCTGAGGTTGAATGAAAAAGTACTTGAGGTGTTTCAGAAGAAGCTTATTCTCTCAGGTTGTAATGGGAACACTGGTCATAAAGTTTTGGGATTCCTATCAAGTAGGAGTATGGATGATGAAAAAATGCATCTCGAGGTGGATGGGTCTAAAGAAGAGCTGCCTGTTGTCAGTTCAGGACAGTGAGACTCCTATCAAATTAGTGAAGTAATCAGTACATGAAATATGGGACACAGTGTCCAGTGTTATCAGTAAATATTGTAAGCCTGTGATATAATACATGGCTGGGACATCAGGTCTAAATTGCCTGCACTTTAAAAAAGGAAGGAGGAAGAACCTGGCACGGACAGTTGCCAGTCCTGTTACTCTGACTTCACTTTGTTCATTTAAAAGTCACACTAAAGGCAGGCAAGCTGAAGGCTATGGTTAAAATACTGCATACCTTCAGAAAACCTGCTTGGAAGCCTTAGCAGTCTGTGAGTCAAGGAAGACTTTGATAGCGAAACTCTGCTAACTCCTGATTTGTTCATTTGGAATTGTAATCAACTTCCAAAAGAAGTTCCTAAGAAGGAGGCAGTATGTGCAATGGGAACATCTAACAAGAAGCTGATTCACACAAATAGGGGATTTTTCCTCCCCAGATAAGCACTGGGAACGATGGGATGTTGTTGAAATCTACTTCCAGTTTCTGATCTCATAAAATATTGCATGATTCACAATGGCAAAAAACAGCAAGGTAACAGTGAGTAAACAGAGGTGCTCTCAGTGTAGATCCATGGGCTGAGCACCTGCTGAGAGCTGGTAGAGGTGCAGAGCATGTGACACAGCACCAGTGTCTGGCAGTGAGAAGTATGATGAGTTGGAAAACCTGGGTTAGTCAGGGAGTGGGCATGAACTGCCTGTGATGTGCTTCATGCCTCTGCTAACTGGTGGCAAGAACTGCCTGTGTTTGGTATGTGCTGAATGAGACTGGAGATGGGGGGTGGTAAGTTGCCTGGGGAGCCTGAGAGCTTGGATGTGACTGACATGGAGGGCATTCCAGCAGGAAAAGGAGCTGAAGCTAAACAGCTACAGCTGTCTATTTCTTGTTCTCTAGGTAGGTGTGTCTGAAAGTGGAAAATCAGGAGGCCGTAGAACACTTCATGTACTTTGTGGGACAGAATTCCTTGTCAGCAGATTTGATCTGCTGTTCTGCTGTAAATAATGAGAAAGCTGGGAAATGTGGCATTTGTTTTCAAGCATTTGCTCACTTGAAGCTGGCTGTGCTTGAAAATGAAGCAGGTAATATTGCAATGTCTTTTAAGGCACGCAGTGCTTGGGTAGATACTCCTGCTGTATCTCTCCTGAGCGTGTGCAGAGTCATTGAGGTCTCCCTGTTCTTGCGGGTAATACGCAGGATGTACTCAGCAGGTGGCTGAGTTTCCCTGGACACATGGTAACTTCAGTGTCCACGTCCTGTTCAAAGCTGCACCTAAGGAGGAATAGCCTTAGAAGAGTGACAGTGGAGTTCAAAAATGGAATGGATTTGGAGAGAAAATCCATTCTTCAGTCCTGAGCAGGGAGGATTCAAGTAGTTAATGAAAGCTTTTATGGATGGAGGAATATGCTTCTGAAATGGCAGATAATTAACGTATGCAACATGTTGCTGCCAGGCATTGATTGGTGACCTTCTGTAAATGGAGCAGGTCTGTGAGCCCTGCCCAGAGCTGAGGGCTCTGTGTGGAGCTGTCGCGTTGGGCACAGGAGGATGGGGCTGCAGGGTCCCAGTGGCCAATCTTGGTGGGTGCAGCTGAAGTGATGTCAGAGGTGCAAAGGGAGAAGTCTGTCCTCATCTAACTAGAGAGATCTAAGAGATTTTCCTTATTTGCCTTTATTTTATTCAAACACTTTTTTTTTTTTTTTTTTTTTTTTAAAACCAAAAAAAATTGGTGATTATTTATAGAATCACAGAATGGTTTGGGCTGGAAGGGACCCTTAGGTTCACCTAGTTCCAGCCCCTGCTCGAGGCAGGGACGCCTCTCCCTGTGCAGCCTGGCCTCAAGCCTCTCCAGGGAGTGGACATCCACAACCTCACCATGCAACCTGTTCCAGTGCCTCATCACCAGAACAGATGGTGAGATGATAGATTTGGGCACTTCTGTGTGGATCTCGTGGGCTTCTGTAGAGAATGTGCCCTAGGACGGCCCCCCGTTATGGGGTTTCTCTCTTGGTGGAGTGGAGCATTCCTTCCTGGTAAAAAGCCAGATGAGGAACATGCTAGATGTAGCTCAGCCTTCAGAGCTTTCTTTTAATCCCGTGTTTTATGTGCTTTCCCAGTGTGTGTTCTCTTGTGGAAGTCGTTTGGAAGGCCTTTGTGTCTCCAGGGCTTGTGCTGCCCATAGTGGCTCCGCTGCCTCTGCCAGCATTCTGGAGCAGAGCTTGGAGGGGAAAAAATACCAGACAGGTGTCAGCCAATTTCGCCGAGTTTCCAAGTGGTCCATCATGTCATCACAGCTTTCTAAAGAAGTGAATTGTGATGATGACTCACTGCAAACCTCTGGCTCCCTGTGTTGGTGAGAATTAAGAAATTGAAACATGAGTGAAGTTTGTTTCCAGCGTTCCCAAGCTTTTTGTTGCTAATCTAAAGCTGAGTCAAGTATTTAAGTCATAAGAGGTTGGGAAGTCTGTGTTCTTCTGCCCCTGTTACTTCAAATAGGGACAGCTGTTATGCTTACGTGACAAATTACATGTTCTGAATGCTTGAAAGTGTTTTGAAATGGAAGAGTACCAAAGGAATGTGTCGTGGTGATGCTTCTGTGAAGAGATAACAGGTGAAATAGCACCGTGTTTCTCTGACATAAATACAGTGACTGCTGTCACAACGGTGGTTGGGTAACTGCTGAAATGCTTTCAGTTCAGATAGCAATTTTTCAGTGCCTGCAGGAATTGCTGTATTTTCTCATGGGAAAAGAAAATACTTAAGAGTCGAAGCACATTACTGACAAGGTGAGAACTGTGTTAATCTAAAGGGCACAGTCATGTCTCACTTTCCTTTTAAGGCATCGTTTCTCTTTGAAATACTCCTGCTTACCTATGTGGTTATATCTTGAGTACAGAATATCCCAGCTGAGGAGCTGGAAACAGGGAAATTTATTCATAGGAGCAGTTGAGAGCAGGCCTAGATTTTTGAGTAAGGTGGTGAGCACAAAAGCACAAGCTAAACGATCTGTCTGGCAGGTACAACACAGGTATGGTAACGTTCACAAATGTGCTAATTAACCTCTGTGTATTTCTCCTCAGATCTGCAAACAAGACTCTCTCAGCAGAATGAAGGTAAGCTGGACTTTGATCTAACTTGTCACCAGTGCCTTGTGTGCTGCGAATGTTGTCTCTAAGTGAAATGCTTTTGATGTGGAGATTGCCCGCAGCCTGGGGAATTGTGCTGTCTGTAGGAACTGTGCTTTACATTGACTAATGGCCACAAAGAGCAGAAAGCCTGTTGAATGCTTGGCCTTTTCCGTGGCATCAGCGTTGACTGACACGTGCCCTGGGAATGCTGCTGGGAAATATCCCCGAGTCCCAGGACGGCTGCGTGGCTCCCAGCGCTCCGTCGGGCCTGGGGCAGCCCAAGGGATGGGGCAGTCGGGCTTCAGGTGTGGCTTTGTTTTCCCCTGCGTTAAAGGCAGGGGCTGGAGGAATCAGATGAGAAAATGGGGCGTTTGGGGTTGCTGTCTCTCAATTAGTCTTTACGTTGCTGCCTTTGTCCCCCTTGATTCTACATGTGTCGAGAGAAAGCAGCCTGTTTCACCTAAACAAACAGAAGCTTACAGCCTGTGAGAGAGCTGCTTTTGGACAGTGCTACGTTAATAAGATGCACTGTGGTGATTGGTAACGGCAGGTAATCAGTGATTGTTGGGGTACTGAGAGAACTCAGAGCTGCTCTGAAGTTTTATCAGTTGCCGAGTGTTCCCTGCACTGCGTGTTTCTACAAAAGGTCAGATGTGCTTGAAGGATCCTTCAGTTTGCTCAGAACAAGTCCTGTGAAGTGAGGAGTGGGGCAGCCCTGCCGTGGCTGCTGGGCTGAAGGACGGCTGAGGGTGGTGCTGGGATGCACACAGTGCTCACGTGTGGAGACTTGTTTGCACTGAAATGTTTACACTGCAAATCCACCTCTGTGGTGGTGCAGGGTTCTTTTTTCTGGCACAAGTTGTAGCTACTCTAGCTTTTTCCACAGTGCTGCTTCCTGCCTTCAGCTGTCTGTTCAGTTAGAACTGTTGCTGTTTGTGCCAGATAATCATTTTTTTTAGAGTAGGTGGAAGCTCCACATTTAAATTGGAACCACGTGTCGAGAATTCTGAGATTGATTAGTGTGTTTTCTTTCCCCATTGAACAGTTTTGGCTGCAGCTGCTTCTGTACAACCACTTGCAACACAGTGCTTCCAGCTTTCCAACATGTTTAATCCTCAAACGTAAGTGACGTCTTGCAGTTTCACTTCAGCTTTTGTTGATGACATGTGAGAAACCAATGAGAGCAGCGGGTGGGAGGGGTTTGGATGGATGGATTGGTTGTGAAGTGGGTTTCACTGGGGATAATAATGTTTCCATTTCTATTCTGTTCCTCTTCCACCCCCTGCAGTGAAGAAGAAGCTGGCTGGGATACAGAAATTAAAGATGACGTGATTGAGGAATGTAACAAACATGGAGGAGTTATCCACATTTATGTAGACAAAAACTCAGCTCAGGTATGCCTGGCTCCAGGGGGCACTGATCTGAACAGGCTGCAGTTCTGTTGCTTTGTTCTGTATAGAGAGGACATTACAAAAACTCTTTTTTTCCCCCTAATCTGAATCTAATGATCTGAGTCTGAATGCCCTGAATGTGCTTAGCCGTTGTTCCAGAATGTAGTTCCCTTCTATTTTGGGTCATCATCACTTTTTTTTGTGTTGCAGTCTGTTCTTACAGATTTCCACAGCTGAAGTTACTGTGGGATGCAGGCTGGAGAATAGCAGCCTACTTCTGGCATTTCCTTGAACTGTGCGTTTCCTAAGAGCCAGGGGCTTCTAGTTTCTTCATTTGCTGCAGAGTGCAGACTTCAGCTTCAGCACAAAGGTCGCAGTGCTGCAGCAGATTCAGATTTGCAGTGAATGTGCCTGGTCCTGTCCTTGGGAGCAGTTGTCTTCAGCAGCACTGTTAGCCAGGGCTCTGCCACCGTGCTGAGGGCAGTGGGGGGGGCTGCGTCCTAGGAGCTGCTGCTGAAGGCTTTGTAACAAAGTGGTGCTTGTGGAGGTTAGTGCCTTTCAAACAAAGAGATTCTTGAACATCTGCACTTGAAAAACGCTAAGGAAGTTTTCTCCCTTGTTCAGTTTGCCTGTGCAGCCCCCAGACCAATCATCTCTTCCCCTGAATTTCCATTCTTAGCATATAAATTGCTGACGTGAACTCTTAAACTCCTTTCCTATGGAATCCACACCTCAAACTGGAGTCCTGTATTAAAACACTCACTGTCACATTCTCATTTCCAACCATGGAGCCTTCAGAGTGCTCTGCCAGGGTGAGGGGCTGGAAGTTATGCTGCTGTCCCTCCCAGTTGCTGCTTAGGTAGGAGTGTGACCCTGGTGGAGACCTTCATCTACCATTGAGCTGCTTCTGTGGAAGTTTCTTTTCACCTGTGAGCCTTTCACAAGGCTTGCTGAGGTGTTACATTTGCCATAAGCTGCTTTCTTATCCATAAGACAGCGTGCAGTCTTTGCGAATACTTTCACTCTCCCACATAAGGGTTGTGTTGAACCGCTGGGCTGGTGAGTGTAGAAATGTTTCCCATGGCACATCAGTCTGTGACTGCCATGGGTGCAGTGTCCTATTGCAGACTTGGTATTTATTAACTTTTTAGCCGTTGGCATTGCGCATAGATTCTGAGCTGCAAATTTGGCCCATTGTAATTCATAAGGGAGCTGTAATTTTATTTCTTTTACACACACTCGTTAGGTTATGTGAAATCCATTTTTAAGGCTAACACAGGGACAGCTCTGATACAAAATACCCACTGCTATTTAGAAATGCTTTGTTTGAACATAAACTTCAGCTGTGCTGTTCTGTGGGCTTGGATTCTCATCGCATGACCTCACTTCTGGTCTCCATCTCTGGCCTTTTGGGGATGTTTTCCAGACAGTCAGACCTGTGGCTCTGAGGGCTGTCGGTAACAGTAGTGCAGACATCATCGGTGTGGTGAAAAGATCTTTGTCCCAACTGAATATGTACATTTCTCCTGGCTCTTGCAGTCTGTGGTGTGTTCCAGGGAAGTTAAAGCTTTGCATTGCTGTGTCCCATTTAGAGGTTTAAGCAGCTGGGATGTCTGTGTGGGGGGAGGCTGAGAGCGGAGCCGTGTGTTCCTCAGTGCCCATGAACATCAGCTGCTCACTGCCCCGTGGTGGACTGCAGGAGCCCCTGAGGAGTGATACCACCATGGGAAAGATGGGTGCAGGCTGGAGAAGGCTGCTGAAGGGAGCCTGTGTTCTTCTTATTGATACATACTTCTCTTCTAAAACCTGTTCCGGCTTGAGCGCAACATGGCTCAGCAGTTACTGGTAGTATTTTATTTAACTGTGTAGCCTTAAAAATGCACACGTTGCTGTGGGCTTGTGTGTGTTCTGCAGGTTTTTGAATGTGAATGTCGCAGTACTTTGCTTCAACCTGGGTTAGTGCTTAGTCTCCAGATAGAAAGCTCCAGCTGTCTGTGGCAAAGACATATTTCCTAATTCATTCATGTTAGTGAGCACCTTGGGCTGTTCTGAAGTTCATGTACTGATACTTGGGGCATCAGCCTTCTTTGAAGTGCTGGGTGGTTGTGCTGTCACTGAGCGCAGAATTCCTACGCTGTCCATCTGAAAATTAAACTGTAAGCTGTTGCATCTAGAGCGGCTGGTGGTGGCTGGGATTTCATAGAATCCTGGAACGTCTCGGGTTGGAAGGCACCTCAGGGGTCACCAAGTTCTGGCCCTCTGCCACAGGTGGAGCTGCCAGCCCCTACATCCAGTGCCAGGCCTGGTTGCCCAGCGCCCCATCCGGGCCCTGAGCTCCTCCAGGGGTGTGGCAGTGCGCAGCATCTTTGGGCCGCCCGTGCCAGCACCTCACCTCTCTCAGTAAAAGCTTCCCCCTGACATCTAATCTGAACCTTCCTCCTCAATTTTAGAACTACTCCCCCTTGTTGATTTCCCCCCTATTTATGATTTCCCCTTAAATATCAGAAGGCTGCACTGAGGTCTCCCCGCAGCCGTCTCTTCTCCATGCCGAACACTTGCAGCTCCTTCAGCCTGCATAGCAGAGATGCTCCAGCTCTGTGATCTTCGTGGCCTCCTCTGGACCGCCCTCATTCCTGCACTGGTGCAGTAGTGTAGATTGGGCCTCATGAGGACAGAGTAGGAGGGGACAGCCTTCTCCCTGCTCTGTTGTCCCCATTTCAGATGCAGCCCAAGGCACCCTCAGACTTCCGTACTGCAGGCTCACGTTAAGCTTTTCACCCACCAGTACGCCAAGTCCTGGTCAGCAGGGCTGCTCTGTAGGAGTTCTCCCTGATGGCAGTCTGCAGAAGGGCAGCCTCGTGCCTCGTGCTTCCGTTTCACCTGGGATTTTGTAGTTGGGAAGTGTTAGGTCACACTTCAGACATGAGGAGCAAGTAAGCAATGCTTGCTGCTTCCATACATCAGGCTTATATTTGGTCTGGCTTGCAGAATCTTATTAGAAGAGCAAATGGTGCTAAAAGCACCGTTGGTATGAAGATGTGCATCTGTAAGGCTGTGGCTGTGTGCTCACTGCCGTGCTGCTGGAGCTCGGGGGAGGGTTTGCTTCCATTACAGCCGTGCAGAGGAAGTGACTGCAGGGAACGTAACAGGGTGCAATGCTTTGTGTTGCAGGGCAACGTGTATGTGAAATGTCCTTCCATTGCTGCTGCCACCGCAGCTGTGAGCGCGTTGCACGGGAGATGGTTTGCAGGTGAGGAGATGCATTTTTGTGGTAGAAATGTGCATTTGTTCATGGATGATGGAACTGGACAGAAACTGACTGGGGCTTGTTTTGCTCTCCTGTTCAGGTAAAATGATCACAGCAGCCTACGTACCTCTCCCGACGTACCACAGCCTGTTCCCAGACTCCATGACTGCAACCCAGCTACTGGTTCCCGTTCGACGATGAAGATGGATTTAGTCAGTTTTGTACATAGTTATTTTTTGGAGGAAGATTGAGTTATCTTTTATTTAGATAAAACTAAAGGAAAGGATTTAATGTCATTTTGTGTACACTTCCTGCTACCTTTAAAATAAAATGAAGTAAGCAGAAATGCAGTGTGTTCATTCTCCCTAACTAGCATTTCCACTGTATACAAAGCTGTTGACTTCTTGTTCTGCCTTGTAATTCTTGTACATTTACTAAGGTGATCTGTAGGAACTGAGAAGTAGCTCATAGAAAATAAATTCTCTGTAAAAGGCAGATGGGACATAATTCAATTTTTAAGTGTTTCACGAGCCTTTCTTTTAATGCAGCAATTACAATTGACATTTCACTAAATGTAGGTGATCTGCTCGAGGTTAATATCAGAGGTAGAGACTGTGAAGGGACATATTTAGTGTTGTGTATAAAGGGGAACTGGAAAGGCTGCTGGAAGCTGACCTGGCCCGGCGCTCAGTGCGCTGTGCTGAACGAGGGTAAGAATGGAAGGACTGGAGGGTTTTATTTCTCGATGGTAACTTTTGATTAATGTTATCTGTAAAAGTTTCTTTGTAAATACTGTGTGAGGTGTGTCTACGTTTCCAAACAAAACCATCTCTGCATTTCCGGACAGGTTTCTGTGCGTGCAGTAGCTGAAGGATTTCAGCAGAGTCTGAAGGTGGGCAGGAAATACAGAAACATGTTTTGTTCTGGTTGCATATAATCTTTGCTCTTTTTAAGCTCTGTGAGCTCTGAAATATATTTTTGGGTTACTTCAGTGTGTTTGACAAGACAGCTTGATATTTCTATCAAACAAAGACTTTCATATTGCAACAATCTTTGTAAGAACCACTCAAATAAAATTCTCTTAAAAAGGCCTTCACGGAGCTTCCTTTCTGCGCTCCTCGCGCGGCCCAGGCGGTGCTGGAGCAGCTGCTGCCTCGGGCGCTGAGGCTGTTGGCGTGGGGTGGTTTGTAGGCAGCCCTGGCTGTGGGGGTTGTCGTTTCTTTACCCTCTCCTGTTGGTTTTCAGCCTCTGGCTGTGGGGCAGGAGGAGTGGGACCGCCCCGCTGGGTGATGATGGGGTGGGGGAGGCTGAAGGCAGGGTGCCCTGGTCCCAGCCCTGGGCTGCTGTGGGCTCTGTGGCTTTGGTGGGTGGCAGCAGCGGAGCGGTGGCCTGCAGGGTGCTGGGGCTGTGGGGGTGTGGGACCGGGGGAGGTAAAGGCATAAAGGGGGGGGGGGGCGAGCGGGTGCATGGCGGTGGAAGGAAAAAAAGCCACCCCAAGTGGCGCTATTTTTATTTTTTCGGTTGCTGTTATGTTAATGGATGCCAGTTAAGGTAAAACTTGGGTTGTTACAGCACACCTGTAGTGCTCAGCTTGTTTGCACAGAGGTCACTGAACCAATGACAGCACAGCCACATCTCATGTGGGAAATGCATTTCTTCGGAACCGGGAGGCAGCGCTCAGCGCTCGCACGTCCTGATGCCTGGGCTGCTGCTGGGCCGGGTTCTGCTGCTGCAGCTGCCTCCTTGAGGCCAACCTCTGTCCTTCAGCACAAGAGGAACAAAGGTAAGGCTTGCTTCGAAAGGTAGAGAACAGGAAATTGCACCGCTGAGCTGAATGTGTCAGAGTTGGCTGTGCTACGCCAGGCAGCGTGGTGGGCTGCAGTCCCCTGCTTCATTGCAAAGCTTTAACGCCTTATGAGAGCTGTACAGTGCAGCGTGGTGTCAGGTCTGGCAGCACCACTCTTAGATGCAATGCACCTTTCCCTGCCCAGGGAATGAAAAATGAGCTGGTTATGGGCTGCAGGAATAGCTTGGCTCTGTCCTTCCCTGGGGCTGTACCCTGGGGTTGCACATCTTGCCCAGGCTGGGTTCCTTTGTGCTATGAGTGGAATTTCCACAGGGAATTGAGATGATTGTGTCACTTAGAACCCCAAAAATGGGGCCAACACAGAGTCACAGAATCACAGAATGGTCAGGGTTGGAAGGGACCTCAAGGATCATGAAGCTCCAACCCCCTGCCACATGCAGGGCCACCAACCTCCCCATTTAATATCAGACCAGGCTGCCCAGGGCCCCATCCAACCTGGCCTTGAACACCTCCAGGGATGGACGGGGCAACCACAGCCTCTCTGGGCAGCTGTTCCAGCACCTCACCACTCTCTCTGTAAAGAACTTCCCCCTGACATCCAATCTCAATCTTCCCTCCCTCAACTTCAAACCATTTCTCTTGAGCTGCTGTTATCCACCCTTTCAAAGAGTTGATTCCCCTCCTGTTTGCAGGCTCCCTTTAGGTACTGAAGGCTGCAATGAGGTCACCCTGCAGCCTTCTTTTCTCCAGGCTGAACAAGCCCAGCTCCCTCAGCCTGTGTTCATAGGGGAGCTGCTCCAGCCCCCTGATCATCTTTTGTGGCTCCTCTGGACCCTCTCCAACAGCTTCCTGTCTTGTTCCTGGACACAGCACTGCAGATGGGGCCTCACAAGAGCAGAGCAGAGGGGGACGATCACCTCCCTGTCCCTGCTGGCCACCCCTCCTCTGGTGGAGTCCAGGATACCATTTACTTTCCAAGCTGCAAGCACACACTGCTGGCTCATGTTACGTTTTTCATCCATCAGGACCCCCAGGTCCTTCTCCGCAGGGCTGCTCTCAAGGACCGCTCCCTTCAGTCTGCACGGATGCCTGGGATTCCTCCAGCCCTCACCAGGTTCACCTGTTCCCACCTTTCCATCCTGTCGAGGTCCCTTTGAATGGCCTCCCTTCCTTCCACTGTGCAAACTACACCACTCAGCTTGGTGTTGTCAGCAAATGGTTGAGGATGCACTCGATTCCATCATCACTGTCACTGATAGAGACGTTACAGAGCACCAGTCCCAAGGCACAGCCCCGGGGGACGCCGCTCGTTACCGGCCTCCACCTGGACACAGAGCCATTGATGACCACCCTCTGTCTGTGGCCTTTCAACCAGTTTCTCATCCATCGAGTGGTCCACCCATCAAATCCACATCCCTCCAATTTGGAGATGAGGAAGTGGTGGGAACCATGTCAAAGGCCTTGCTCAAGTCCAGCTAAATGACATCGGTCGCCTTTCCCTTGTACACCAATGCCATCACTCCATCACAGAAGGCCACCAGCATGACCTTCCCCTGGTGCAGCCGTGCTGGCTGTCTCGGATCACACGCCCATTCCTCATGTGATCAACCATGTCATCCAGGAGGATCTGTTCCATCATCTTCCCAGGCACAGAGGTGAGACTCACTGGCCTGTAGTTCCCAGAGTCCTTCTTGCTCCCTTTCTCGTCAATGGCAGTGATGTCACCCTTCCTCCAGTCATCCGGGTCCTCACCTGACAGCCACAACTTTTCAAATATGATGGAGAGCGGCTCGGTAACCACCTCAGCCAGCTCCTCCAGAGCCCTGGGATGCAGCCATCCGGCTCATAGACTTGTGCGCATTCCGTCTCATCAGTCGGTCTCAGACCTGCTCTGTCACAGTGGGGGGATTTACCACCCCAGTCCCCACCTGGAGGTTTAGGGATGCAGGGCTCAGGGACGTGAGAAGTTTTGGAATCCTGGTTGCCAGTGAAGACTGAGGCAAAGAACTCACTCAGTACCTCAGCCTTCTCTTCGTCTGTTGAAGCCAGTTCTCCTTTTGCATTTACCAGAGGAGGCACACTCGCTGTGGCCTGTTTCTTCTGGCCAAAGCACCTGTAGAAAGTCTTCCTATTGCTTTTCACAGCCCTTGCCAAGTTCAGTTCTGCTTGCGCCTCGACTTTCCTGATGCCACGTCTGCAAGTCCAGACAGCATCCCTGTATTCTTCCCAGGTGACTTCAGATATTATTGCAATACAAGAGAAATCTGGTAGCTGATCTGAATTAACAGCAAAATAACTCCTAGACTGGGGGAGTGCATGAATGAAGTGGACCGGTTCTGCATCAGAAACCTGAGGTGCCCAAGCAGCAGAGGGAAAAGCGTGTTCACTGCTTGAGAAATTTTAATGAAGTGCAGAGGGGTGTGAATTCTCATTGTCATGGAATACAGGAGGTGAGGAAAGCAGAAATCCTGTAAAGATGATGTCTACATGAAGATGCTACAGCACAGAGGGCACAACATCAAAAAAACCACTGCATTTCAGTATCTAAAGACTTTATTTATTATGGTACAGGGGGTGGCTGCGCTTTGGATTAGAAGCCCGAGCTCCGGTTCAGCAGCGGATTCCCATGCCTATAGCCATGAACGTCCCGAACGTCCCACCGCTCTGCATCATCGTTTTGCCAACGCCACCCATCAGCTCTCGTCCTCTCATGCCGATCCTGAGATAAAGAAAAAGGCAAAAATTACATCAAGGCTGAAGCCTGCTGCAGACGTACGCGGCAGAAACCAACTGATGCAGCCAGCTAACGGCCGCAGGGGAGCCTGAATCCATTCTCCTTTGTCCAGGCTCAACGTGAAGCGATGCCCTCGGGCTCTGCCAGCAGCCAGAGACCTGATGTGCCACAAGGAAAACCGGGGCTGGTTTGTACCACAGCTCCGTGCCTTGGGACAGTTCCATCCCACCTGCAGCTCAGACACAGCGGTAGCAGCGGGCGCTGCTTGGTGCTGCAGGGCTGTGCTGTGGGCTGCGCCAGGGTCAGCTCAAGGGAGAATATGGGGCGTTGTGCCCCAGCTCCACAAAAGGCGTGCTGCCAGCTGTGGGACGGGCTGCACAAGGAGCACAGAGGAGGGGAGCATCTCTACCTGCCAGTGCCCCACAGCCCTCAACGTGGTGGGAAACGGATCGGTGCTGCAGGGATCTGAATGGCGGGAATAAAGCAGTGTTAGCTGCTGTACCACCAGCCTCTCCAACTGCAGCAGGTGTAATGCCATCACACCACGAACCACGCTGCGAATGGACTTCCTATGTACTACTGGTGCTGTATTTTCAATGTGAGAAAAGTTCCAAAGGTCTGGAAGCATTCAGACACAATTCTGTTCTCCAGTCTGTGTTTATATGAAGTTGGGCCAAAGCAAAATAATCATTTCTTCTCGGACACTTCTGCTGCTGTTTGGCTTTTAGGAGCTGCAGCGGTGCCCGATTTCACGCAGAGCGTTTCCTCACAGCAAAGCACAGCCCAGTAACGCGGCCGTGCCATCTCAGCACAGCGCCGATCCTTCGCAGCCCGAAGCCCGTATCCCGCTGGGACGCACGGGGCGGTGCGCTCAAACATTCCGCAGGGTCTGAGGAGGATCGGACGCCCTTTAATCAACTTTATCAGCCCAAGTTCTGCGAACTTTCCCCCTTTCCGGGCTACCAAACTCTCGCCGCGTTTTACCACACGGCGGACGCCCCAACGCGAAGAGCCCAGTAACGCCCCGCAGCCCCGCAGCCCCGCGTTTCCCGCAGCCCCGCCAGCCGAGGCGCGCTTCCACCGCCGCGGTCCCGCAGAGCACAGCGGACCCCCGCCCCGCCGCACCTGAGGCACGAGAAGGTACCGAACAGCGCTCCCGCGGCCATGCCCACGGCGAAGCCCATCACGAAGCCCATCTTCACTCTGTCGAAGCAGCTGGGCTGCGACTGCCCATACGGGCCCACGGTCACGGGCATCTGCAACACAGCGCTCCGCGCTCAACTCCGCGCTCAACTCCGCGCTCGGCTCCCCGCACCGCCCCGCACCGCCGCCTCGGCCTCCGCTTCCGGTACGGACGGAAGGGGCGGAGCGGCGCCGCGTCGTCGCTGTCCGTCCGTCCGTCCGTCCGTCTCTTCCTCCCTCCCTTCCTCCCTCGGGCCCCGCGGCCATGCAGCTGTGGCGATGCCTGCCGGCCCTGCGGGCCGTTCTCCCCTCCCCGCGGCGGCTCTCGGCGACGGCGCCGCGAACGCGGGCCGAGGCGGGCGGAGAGGGTACGGCCGGGGCGGCTGCGCTGGGCCGGGGCGGCTCCCGACGGCCCCCGACGGCCGGCTCACCCGCCCCGCTCTCTCCGCAGGGCCGCGCGGAGACGGAGACGGAGCTCTGCGGCCGCTGTACCTGGACGTGCAGGCCACCACCCCGCTGGTGCGTGCCCGGCTCCCCGCCCGCCTCGCCTGGCCGCCGCCGGCGGAGCGGCGCTGAGCGCTGTGTGTCCCCGCAGGACCCGCGGGTGTTGGACCGCATGCTGCCCTACCTGACCGCCTGCTACGGGAACCCGCACTCCCGCACCCACGCGTACGGATGGGAGAGCGAGGCCGCCACCGAACGCGCCCGGCGGGTGAGTGCGGGCCGGGGCGCCGAATTGCGCGGTGCGCCGCGCTGCGCTGCGATCCGGAGCGAGGGGAGGTGGCTGCGCTGGATGCCGGCGGTGGAACGGGCCGCCCGCAGGCCTCGGGCGCTCCGCGACGCGCTCTTGAAAACGGGATGGCGAATTCATCGCGTGTCACAGCGCCTCAAACCTGCCTTTCTTTCTCGACAGCAAGTTGCAGATTTAATAGGAGCAGATCCGAGAGAAATCATTTTCACCAGCGGGGCTACGGAATCCAATAATATGGCCATCAAGGTAAAAGGGTTGTGCTGATACGCATCGTGTTAAAACAGAGCTGCCAGGAGCTCTGAGAAATGTCAGCACCTCAGCCAGGTCTGCGGGCTCTTGGCTGAGCGCTGTGCAGTTCCAGCACCTCACCGCTCTCTCTATAAAGAACTTCCCCCTGACATCCAACCTCAATCTGCCCTCCCTCAACTTGAAACCATTTCCCCTTGTCCTGCTGTTATGGGCACTGCCCACAGTGCTCTGCTCGCTGTTATTCCCAAGGCTGGGGCTGTTCGGTAGCAAAAAGCAGTGCTGTGCTCCACCTTTGGCCCCACGAGTCCGTGAAATTCCGATTTGATCTCCTGTGCTTTAAAATACAGCACGGTTTTTTGTCAAGCGCACACAGCTGGCTCAGGGTGTGACCTCACTTTTACACAGGTAAAATGAACGCTCGTCTGATGTGCACCAAATGCAGTTCTGCTTGCTTGCTCAGTAGGTATCTTTATTAGGAAACGTGGAGATGCTAATTACAAATGTTCTTTTCTCTAAGGCTAGCTTGTGTTTTAACCTCTTGTCTGCAGTTTGTGGTCGTTCAGGCTTCTCATTGCAGTGACTCCATAGCAGGTTTGTAAGAGGTATTCCTGTCATTAAGCAGCATTTGGATTTCTGCCTGGTGGCATTTTTTCACAGGTGTTCGGGAAGTGAGATGCTTCTGTGAAGTGAGTGCTTGCAGAATTGCCTGGTGTGAATTACACCTCTCTCATTAATGATTTCATCATTTTCTTCTCTTGATTTTGAGCATCTTACACAAAGCTTGCTCTCAAAGCTTGTTAGGTGACCTAACAGCGAATTTCCTGTGCGTGTGCTGTGCCTGGCAGGGTGTTGCAAGGTTCTATAAGTCCAGGAAGAAGCACATCATTACCACGCAGACAGAGCACAAGTGTGTGTTGGATTCCTGCCGCTCCTTGGAGGCTGAAGGCTTTCAGATCACTTACCTGCCTGTCCAAAAAAATGGGCTGATCGATTTGAAGGTGAGATATCGAGCGGCAGAAAAATGGTGAGGAGAGAAGAGGTGTGTAGGTGGGGCTGGTGCTGAAGAGGACCTCGTGTCCTCTTCATAATACAGAGGGAAAGGATGATAAATATCACAGCAGGGTAGGAGATTCACAGTCCAATCTGCCACGTTTGGAGGATTCTCTGTTCTGTCTGGTGCCCCAGGCTTGTCTGCCAGATCCCATCTCTCATCACAGCTGCTGTCAGCTCCTCCATGCAGGCAGAGCTGTCATGTACCTGTGGAAGCCCATGGCTGTGCTGCAGCTGGCTTTGGTGCAGGAGCTGGTGGTGAATTTCCTGCCTGGAGCTACTGGAGGCAGCAGGCACAGTGACTGCAGTGCTCCCTTCTGGGTGTGGTGGCCACAGTCCTGAGACTGAGAAGTTCTGCATGCTGATTTCCTCGGTTGTGTTGTGTAAAAAGGCAGCATTGGCTTTATGTCTAGGAATGGTGTGCAGCTCAGAGAGGGTGTGTGTGTGTGTGTGTGTGTGTGTGTGTGGTGGAGGGACGGATCAGGCCAGCAGGCAGGGAAGGGTTAATGACATTTATGGGGAAATTTGCTGGTGCACTCCTCCTTTGTGTGATGCTTCTGTATGGTGTAATTGCTTTGCAGTCAGCCTTGCTGTGTCTAGATGTGGGTGGTTACACTGGCTGCTGGGAGTTTAATGCATTAAAAAAATAGTTCATGGCAATGTATGAGACATACAGCAAAAGCCTTTGCTCACTTGACGATGTCAGGTGGCACTGTGCATACTGGGATGTGCAGAAATGCAACTCGGCACACTGCTTCCTGCCAGCATTCTGTGCTTGTGTGGGGCAGCATGCTCAGCAGGGCTGCTTGTCAGAACCTGGGGGCTGCTGATGGTGTTATTTTGGGGGCTGAGGGCTGAGGCTTGCTGGCAAGCTGTGTGCGTCATGAATTTTCTGCTTTGAGTCACAACTTCTGCCTGCCTGAATGTTCACCAGGAGCTGGAGGCTGCCTTCCAGCCAGACACAAGCTTGGTTTCTGTGATGGCTGTGAATAACGAGATAGGAGTGAAGCAGCCGATTCGTGACATTGGTAAGTAGACAGCTGCTTCCAGTGGCCTCCCCATGTCACTTTAGGCCATTTAACATAATATGTTCATAGTCAAGTGCTACAGAAACATGTACATTTACATATAGAAAATCTTAGATGTAATGTAGTAATAAATCTGTGTAGCTCTCGGGATCCCACTGTGGTTGTGTGCCAGCAGTTCCTGTGAGGGTGACCCCAGAACATCCTCCTTCCCCATACTCAAGTTGTCCTTTATAATATGTTGAAGTTTGTATGCAGTTTTTAGGCTGAGGCCTGTGCCCTGCATGGTTCTGGAAGGTGTTGTTTTCCCAGGCTGTGGCAGGCAGCTTATCTTGCCCTGCAGCTGTTTTTCCTCTTGCTTAGATTCTGCTTTCTTTTTTTTGTCTTTCCCTCTCCCCCTGTGACTGTGCTGAAAGCAGCACTATGAGTGCCCCAGTCTGTTTTCCCAGTCTTCATTATTGACAGTAACTGACCATTGCTGAGCTGCTCATAGCCCTGAGGACTGTTATGATCCTGTGTCTATACTCCCAAGGCTGTTGCGGTTGTCCCACGTTCAAATGCTGATGTTCTCATGACACCTTGATAAGGAGCCAAATAGACCAGGCCTTGCAGAGTCAGCCTGGGGCATTGACAGTACGAGGGCTGTGAGCTGCTGTGAGCAGTAGCTGTGCTGTTCTTAATGGACCACAAGTCCATGCTAGCAGGATGGTGCCAAATGTTGCCCAGAGAAGTGTGGGATGTGTTTTGCGAAGTAAGGTTCTGTGGGAGGTGACTGGGTTGTTTTTTATCTCCTTGTCCCTTGGTGTATTTGAGCTCTGGATGCAAAAAACAAGTTGGATAGTAGACTTGAGTGAGTTGAGATGTCACCAATGAGTTTATGCTCTGAGCAGGGAACTGAGTACTGTAAAAAGTACTGGGGCGATAGAGTTTTTAATGCCACTTGCTCTTGGCAAGAATAAGCACGAGAGTAAGCTTGTACTAGACAGATGTTGAGAAGAAACATAAGAAGAAAACTTAATTTTGTCCTGCTGTTGAGAAATCTGGGTGTCCCATTCAGCCCTCTGTGGTTAAACAGGGCCAGGCCTTGGCAGGTGTGGGTTTGGAAACAATCCCAATCCTCGGCAGTGGAAGATCTTTTAACTTTCCAGCTGAAGGAGCTCACCGTAGCCCTACCTCGTGACCTGCCTGAAACTGCCCAGCATAGCTTCTGAACAGCTGCAGGCACTTGGCTGAACTGTAAAGGGGGTGTGACAGTATGCATTCCTTCCTTTGGCACCTCAGGACTTGTCCCTGCCATAAACTGCTGCGTTAGATTCATTGTTGGAATCACTGGCTCATAACAATTAGGCGAGGTCATGTTTTTCTTTCTTGCTTTTGTTTTTATTCCAGGTGAGATCTGCCGTGCACGTAAGGTTTTCTTCCACACGGATGCTGCGCAAGCAGTTGGTAAAATTCCTATGGATGTCAATGACTTGAAAATTGATCTAATGAGCATCAGTGGCCATAAAATTTATGGGCCCAAAGGTATTCATTGAAGTGTTTTTATAAAGAATTGTTTTTCGTGTTTGCCTTAAGAAATAACTGTGGAAGGCAGAAAGTCAGGCCTGTCTGTTGTGGTGAATGCTACCTTCACTTAACCTGTAGAGGTTTGTTCTCGGCCCAGTAGGGGCTGGCTGTGCAGTGGGTCGGCTCTGCTGGGTTGTCTTCAGTGCTTATGGGTTGTGAGCTGGCTTTTCCCAAGGAAGAAATGGTGTCTTGTAACGGTGGTGGTGTTAGGATGAGTGGCTCTTTGGGGTCTTTTGAATGGTGTGAAGCAGCTGTTATGCTGCAGTGGTTGAAGTATCGTGGTGTTGTGGGGCTGAGCTTAGATCCAAAGGTAACTTGTAACACAGAGATCAAACGGTAAGTCTAAGGTCAGTGATTTTGGTCATCGACTCCCCATGGCTTCTTCCCACTCAGCCCTCTTTGTACCTCTCTGCAGAATGGGGTCTAAAATCCAGCTACGTGTTTTGTGGCTCAATCCCAGGCAATAAAAGTTTAGCTGTTATCACTGTCGCAGTCCATGTAGTTTGTGACACAGGACGTACAGAGGCAGAAATCAGCTTTGTTGTATTCTATGTGTTATTCAGAAATAGAAGCCCAAAAGCTCAGGGGGGGCCTTGTGGGTTTGTAGCTGGCCTGCTAACCCAGAGAAAGGAGTTCTGCAGCTTTGAGGCAGAAGTCATAAAGAGCACCTCAGTGAGTGAGATATCTGTGCATGGAAGTTTTGGAGCAAAGGGCTGAAGTTCATCTTCTCAAGGGTTGCCAGAACAGGCAGTGCAGAGCCTTTAGGTGCTGAAGTGTTCTGGGAGAAACTGAGCTCCCCCGTGTCAGAAGCCTGGCAGTGCAGCTGCAGAGCTGTACGAATGGTGGGAGCGAACTTTTTCTAGAAAGCCTTGTGCTTCTGTGTGCCTTCACTGCCTTTTTCTCCAGTGAGGTGTCCGGGAGTGCTGTGGAAACAAAGGCTTCCGAATCTCGGAGTCCCTTTTCATGATTGCAGAGCCGTGGATGTGAACTGCACGCATCCAGCCTGTCTCCTTGTTCCGCAGGGGTTGGTGCCATCTATGTTCGCCGGCGCCCGCGCGTGCGGCTGGAACCCCTGCAGAGCGGCGGAGGCCAGGAGAGAGGGCTGCGATCGGGGACTGTGCCCACCCCGCTGGCTGTGGGCCTGGGGGCGGCGTGTGAGGTGGCGCAGGAGGAGATGGAGGTAGGTGGCAGAGCGGGGCCGGGCGCTGACGCAGCAGGGCCGCTTTGAGCGTGGGTTCCGTCGCTCATTTTGTGTCTGCGCGCGTGAGCTACGTTGGATTATCGGCACATGAAGTAACGGGTTGTGGATCTTCGGGGTCAGAAGTTTTTGTGTAACTGGAAGATGAGTTTCAGCTTTCTTATCTTTTCGCTTGAAGTGGCTTGAATCTTGGTTGTTCACAACGTTGATGATTTATGGTTTTAGTGAAATGCAGCTTGAAGTGCTTGCACTTGTCTCTCTGCTCTGCAAACATATTGCAGCCCCTCTGAAGCTGAATGCATCATGCTTATCTAATGTGTACTGAAACAATGAGGCTTTCTAGTTCGCTGTTCTGTTGGACTAGATGAGCTGTAAAGGTCCCTTCCAACCCAAACCATTGCAAGACTCTGCTAAATGTATGTAAATTCAGGTTTGCTGGAACTTTAATAATTTAATGGTGGGTTGTTGTTTCATTCTTGCTTGATCTATTTGCTAGTTGTGATATTTAAGGCTGTATGTGCTGCTGGTGGGACACATCAGTACACGTGGTGGAGGTGCTTCCTCTGAGGCAGGCAGGGATCCGCCATTGGGGCTGCTGGTTACTGAAGCCTTGTTGGAAGCTGAAGAGCCCGCAGAGCCTCAGTGCTGCAGGAGCCTCACATCTGGAGCCTTTTCCTACTCTTTCAGAATTCTGGCATTTGAAAAAAAAGCATATTGGAAAGTTTGTTTCCTTTTAAAGGGTTTTTTTGGAGAATGTGACCAGGCTACTGTAAGCAAGTATGAGTTACACGTGTGTGTCTGTCCATTTCTGAGCACTGGAGCCGCTGTTGTGCCTTACTGCTTTATTAGTGCAAGTGACATTGTTTGTAGTCTGCAATGAGTCTCTGCTCGTGGGCAGCCCTCCTTGTGGAGGTGACGTGTGGTGAAGTCCCATGATGGCAGAGTTCCCAGCTCTGCTGTGTGCCGACTCACTGTGAGTTTCATGTAATACACCTTGAATGCCGCTAGGTGAGTAAGGGACACTTCTACCCTAACAGATGCCCTTGGTTGTGTTGCAAGTCATTTAATGTCATGTGCCTAGCTTGTATTTAAGTACAAAAACTTGGCACTCCTGTGAGAGACAGTTTGTAGATAGATCTTTCAGAATCATTGGTAATTCTTGAAGACTGAATTAGCTAGCATCAAACTGGCAGTTCTCTTTTATAAGAGTCTGTGGGGTGCGAGTTTTAAAGTTCCCTTTTTAAGGTTCAGATGTAATATAGCCACAACCATCTACTTCAGTCCGTGTACGGCTGGTGGCACAAGCAGTTCAGTGAGCTCAGACGTGTGCTGTTCCTCATTTTCATCTCTTCTTTGGTTTCTTTGCTAGTATGACCATAAGCGAATCTCACAACTGGCAGAACGGCTTGTTACAAAAATAATGAGTGAAGTTCCTGATGTGGTTATGAATGGAGACAGAGAGCATCGTTATCCAGGTAATGCTAGAAGAACCCTGACCCTGTTAGAAACGTCTGACTCCTTGGTGTTAGTGGCCGGGGCTGAATAATGCACTGTAGTTAAACGTGGTGCAGGTGCTGCTGTGTGGTGTAGGACCTACTGTGCATTCCACTTGGTGGGAGTTCTCCTTTTCTCTACTCCATTTATTTTTGTAGGATGCATCAATTTATCTTTTGCGTACGTGGAAGGGGAGAGTCTTCTCATGGCTCTGAAAGACGTGGCTCTATCTTCAGGAAGGTAGGTGGGATATGTGGGGAGGAGAGCAGTATGCTTTGGAGAGAAAATAATGTCAGAGAAAATAATGACTTACAAAGTAAGGAGGGATCTGCTCTGTGCCCTGTACTTGCTGGGCTGGTTGGTGAGTCAGCCTGGCATTGATTGCATTCTGGGATGGTTGTTTTGTGAAGTTGCACGTTCCAGCTGAAGGTCAAATTTACTCATCCTGAAAGCAAAAAAAGTAGGAATTCCTGCCTGCCAGCTTTGCAAACTTGCTTTGTGTCATCTGAGTGGACTTGAATTGTAACTGGCTGTGACATTCTCTGTAAAGGCTGCCATCATTGGAACTTCTGTCCTTCAGCAGCGTTTCACAGAGGTGGCAGATCACAACTGGTATCTAGTGAGGCTGGGCAAATATCTGAATTACCTTAGTTAGTAGTGTCTGTGTCTAAAGCTGAAGCAGAAACTCAGTACACTCTTGGAGAGCTGAATTGACTCTGCAGGAGCAACATTTCTGCTATTGAGACCAGCTTCATGCTTACGATGGAATTAATGAAGTGCCTTCCTTTTCTCACCTCTGAGAACAAAGTCAGCAGTGCATATCCCAATTTGAAACATGCTGGTATTGTGAACAAGGAGAGCAAGTCTTCACGTGACAGTGAAGGCCAGTGCTTCTTCAACGTGAAAATCTGTTCTGAGGCTCTGCTTCATGCACTTGTTTTAAGCAGCATTATGGTTTGTGCTGCAAGTTGCTACCTGTTCAAATTGCATAACAACATGTAGCCAGTTTTGCCTACTGCTCAAGGATGGAGGTTCCTCACTATCATCACTAGGCCATCTTGCTCTGGATTCCTCTGCACACTGTTTTTTATTGATTTGTATTGCTGCCAGGCAGCAACTTGTGAAATCTTTTCTTTTTTAATGCTCCTGTTGGTAAGTTGCCTTCCCTGGGTAGTTCTGCCTTGGCTCTTGTGTCTTCTTTGCACAGCTTCTACTTCAGCTACCTCTTGGGCTGCAGTACTGCTGCTTCTGTTTGGCATTGTACTAATGCACAGTGTTATCTATGTATTCTCTTCTTTCTTTGTGCTCCTAACTTACTTACCCTTCATTTCCATGTCACATCTGCTCCTGTCATTCTTTAGCAGCAGAAATACTGCTGCCCTTGCTCCTGTCTCCTTGTGTTCACTAGTTATTTCCAAGAGGGTGAGGAACCTGCTATCAATTGTTGTGAAGGTTAATAATATTGAATGTGTAAGTGAGCTGTTCTGTGTTGGAGAAGTGTAGCATCTGCATGTGAATTTAAGTGTGAGATTGGCCTTTCTTCCCTTTCCCTAGTGCTTGCACATCAGCTTCTCTGGAGCCTTCATATGTTTTGCGGGCAATCGGAGCAGATGAAGACTTGGCTCACTCCTCTATAAGGTGTGTGGAGTGATTTTCCCGTTGTTTCTTTTCTGCTGAAAATTCACGGTGAGTTTGTTTCACTCATCCACGTGCACACTATTCCAATTAGTAATGGTTCTCCTTTGCTTTAGATTTGGAATTGGTCGTTTCACTACGGAAGAAGAAATAGATTATACAGTGCAGAAATGCATACGGCATGTTAAGAGGCTGAGGGAAATGAGGTGAGCCATCTTTAATGGAGTTTAAAGGCTTCTTAACTATGGTAATCATTTGAGGAACTGGATTTCATTGAAAGAAATTGCCTGCTTTAAAAACCCGTGCACAAAAAATCTCTGTACACACAGAAGTAGTGTTGCCAGAGTGTGTAGTGAGCTTGATCTTAACAGTAGTGAAAAAAGTTTAAGCAGACGAACCTGTCAACAAACCATTTCCCAGAGCCAGTCTGTATGAGGAAATAGTGTGAATAGGACAAGCGTGGAGAGTGGGCAACTCAAAGTTTGTAAGCCAGATATGGTATTACTGCATGTGTGCACTTTGTGTTATGTTGGGGAAACTGAAAGGTCTCTGGCTTGTCTGGGCGGTGTAAAACGTGAGGTCTCAGTCTCTAAGGAAGGTGTACTTCATGCCTAAAATGGGAGCAGGAAGTGAGCACCTTCCTTCTCCCTTTTTGCATTTTGTCCGAGCAGAACACTGGAGATTCTTCATGTGAAGTTCACTGACCTCCAGGAGGCCAAGGCAGACAGATACAGCTGAATTTGTTGTGTAGTGGATGATGTTGCCTGTGTGGTTGTTGTTGTCCTTTGCATTTTAGATAGCATTCATTTTTTCTTTCTTCTTTACAGTCCTCTTTGGGAAATGGTGCAGGATGGAATTGACCTCAAAAGCATTAAATGGAGTCAGCACTGAGAAAACAAGCTCTTTCCATGCATGGACTAGATAGAAGTGGATTAAGATGCATTTTCTGTACATTCCTGAACAAACCCGTGCAGCACATTTCAGCTTGTTCTTATCTGCAATTCGAATGGAAAGCTACCTTTTCTGATAACAGTCTAAGAAGCCAAAAGTTAAACTAGTCTGTATGCTGGAGAAGGGCAGGATGGCAGAACAGCCATCGCTTGTATATTTACATTCAGCAATTTATGCTGAGATGGATTCTGTTAGAGAATGTGTTTTGCAATGTAAAAAACGAAACTGTGGAATCGTGGTGAGAGATTGCTCCTCCTCAGCGTAAAACATCCTGTGCAGCTGTTCTGCTTGCAGCACAGACCTGCTGCCGGGCTGCTGGTTCTTCTGGAGGCAAGCAGCCTTGCAGCTGCAGGTGGTTTTGTGCTGCTTAAATGTGTTGTGAGAATTTTTTATGCAGGAAGACGTTTGGCATTTCTAGAGGAAAAGGATGCCTCACTGTGGCTATGTGCCTTCACAGTTAAGTTGTATGTGGAGTTATGAACTCTTTTTTCCCCTAAAACTTTATAGTTTTTGCTCTTGTGTGTGTGTGTGTGCTGCTTATACAGACCAGTGTGCATTAATACATTGTACAGCGTACAGTGTTATGGGATTTAGGATACCATTATAATGCACTTTGCTGTCCCCTCTGCTTTTTTCCTACACAGTAAAGAAAAAAAACTTGAATGACTGGGAGAGGAGGACACACAATATGCCAGCTTCAGTTGCAGTACCAGTTTAGTTGGTACTCCACTGGTGGAGGAGGGGAAGCACATAACATACAGTGTCTTCTGGTTTCGTTCTAGTTTTGCTTTGTTTCCCTTGTGGTGAGTCCTCTGCCATTACTGCAGCCTTTGCCTTTGCTTCTGGGAGTCTTGCTCAGTGGGTGAACCTGGATGTTCTGTCAGTAGGTAGGAACATGTGGCTCTGGAGTTTTTTCTTAGTGTGCCAGGGCTAACTTGTCTTAGAGACTTCCATGGGGAAAAGTGTCAATTAAAATGGATTTGATTAGATGAATTCATATCATTATTTCTGCTTTTGTACCTCTGGTGGTCTTTCCAGTAGGAAACTTAACCCTGTATTACGAAGTGCCTTTTATCAGCTGCGTAAGCAGACAGCTCTCACATTAGTTTCTTGGTTGATGGCTGCCGAATTTAATACACATTATAGATGGTGTGTGACCAGTTCTGAGTAGTATCTACCTCGAGGATGAAGCACTGTGTGGAAAAGCTGAAGCTAAGTCTCACAGAGTGGACTGAATTATAGAATTGTTCCTTTTTCTGTTAAGAAGGACAGATTTGGTTGAAATGCAAAGCTAATCCTGAATTGTTCTATTTGAAATTACTAGCTTTAGCACTTTCAATATCGTACGACTGACCGGCACCTTGTGATTCATCACCATGTTTTTAAAACTCTCATATGCATAACTAGGTTTTAGAGGCATTGTTTGTATTATATTTTATCTTTGGGCCATGTGTGGTTTCTGGGTTAAGCACGTGATAAGAATTCCCCAGCATGTTGTAGAATTGTATGTTTATGAATGTGTTCTTTGTGCTTCGTGGATTATAAAAATAGAGAGAAGACTTCAACTTGGCTACTTTGAGTCTTTGTAGGTAATTATGAAGTTGAAATAAATCAAGAAAAAAGAATTAGAGCACTATTTTTGGGAATCACTTCTCCAGCTCAACTGTTGGGCACGATCAGTAAGTTGCTAAGTTGCAGTCTCTCATCAGATGACAGAGGCAATAAGCTTTTCTGTGCGCACTGATACACGCTCTTTCTCCCATCAAGCTGACATTTGACTTTTGTTGAGTTGTTCCTCTCAAACCTCGTGTCACATCTGACCTAATAGATACTTTCAAAACTCACCTAGCTTAGGTTGTGATTACTTGGAGAAAAGGGAACACAAATTGTGAAGGTCCTTCGTGCCTCTCATGTACTATCATATATAAATGCTACATGGAAAGGTTTGGGCAACTCATTCGCTCTATTAAGCAATGTTTGAAAATGCAGACAAGAAGAGAAATAATTAATAGTGAAGATAATTCTTACCTGTGGGAGAACAAAGAAGTAGTAACGCTGAATGTCTACTTGTACACTGTTGAACACAGTTAAGGCTTTTTGTAGGGCAGTGAATTTCTCTGTAAGGGGTATTTACAAATGGAGGTATTGCTTTTGTGGGCTTTCTTGGTGGTTAATTGAAGCCATCTGCAGGGCCTTAATTTAATAGTAGGAGGTAAGAAAGGTGAGGACTTAGCATTGTTATAGAACCATAGAAGTTGAGACAGTGTGATCATTAAGAATAGAGCCAGGCTAGAATAGGCATCCAGTAGTGTGAAAGGGTTAGGCAATGTGCAAGAAAAGCAAAGAAATTCACTCTGATGGGTTTTAGTACGTCTAAAAGCTCACAGAACATAACGCCTAACTGCTAAGCTAGCATTTCCCAGGGAAGATAACATGGATTTAGCTGTGTTAACTCGTGGAAAGAGAAACAGGCAGTTTTTAACTGTTTGTTGGCAACTGTTTGTTGGTTTGTTGACAATATGATGCAGACAGGCAAAAATCATTAAATTTTAAAAATGAAAAATTAACATAAAAGCTATTGATCCCAGCAAAATAACGGCCTCATTTTGGGTCTTGTATCTGCCCAATTGACTGAACTACTGTTCTGTGGTGTGACTTCAGTCACACTCACTGTGTTCAGTCACACCGATTTTGCTGATAGTGTGTACGCTCAGAGCTTGGAAAAAATGCAGTTTCCCAAAGCCAAGTGCCACAGAGTTGGTCTGAGAGATCACTACTAAAGAGTTTTGATTAAAACTCAGGACATAAACGTGGTCCCGCAGCGGGAGAAGTGAAGGTCACTTTTCAGAATGGACAAGCTGAGTGCTTGGGAGAACTGAGCACTCTGACAGCTGGTCTGCATGCTTAGAGAATCATGGAATTGCTCAGGTTGGAAAGGATCATCGAGTCCAACCACAACCCAACCATCCTACCCTAACTCTAACGACCCTCTGCTAAATCATGGCCTGAGCACCACATCCAAACACATCCAGGGATGGTGACTCAGCCACCTCCCTGGGGAGCCCATCCCACTGCTTAACAACCCTTTCTGTAAAAAAGTTTTTCCAGACATCCAAACTAAACCTCCCCTGGCACCACTTGAGGCCATTTCCCTTCATCCTTTTATAGAAAAGAGCAGTAAAAAAAGCTGGTACGGGATTCTCAAGTAAAGCTCTAACTTGAGAGCAAAGAGGTTTTGCCCTAAGTAGGTGTAGTAAAACACTGACATACGGAGTTTATTCTAGGGAGGTGAGGAGACTTTGAAGTCACTGCACAGAATCAGTAAGGCAATTCTGAACAAATAGCTGACTGACAGATCTCAAATATGAATATGAATGAGGAATGAAAAGAGTTTTTGGGAAGTTTCTGTAAGGATTGTTTCTGCTGAACATTTACAGAAATGATCTGGAAACAGTTGAAACTTGCAGGTGATGCATGGCGGTCAGGAAAACACAAAGTAATGGAAGTCATTTGATGGACTGACAGATTCATCAAAGATGCATCCTTGTAAAGAGGGATGAATAAGATGAGAGGTTGTGTTTTTGAGTGGTATCTGCGGTTTGTGCTGGAGAAGCAAAGAGCCTGGGAGTTAGGCTTTCCATATTGACAGTGTAGCAAAACCATAATGCAAAGAGAAAATACTTTTCTTTCAAATGTGGAATTGGCACAGCAAGTGATGGTTCCATCAAGCTTTACCTTAAAGTGTCCTGTGTTGTTTTTCTGTTGGTCTTCCCTCCACCCCCCCCCCCACACTTTTATACCTAACATCCTACTTAAGTTTTAGCTTAGGCAGAAGGCACGGATTTCAGAATTTTCTTAGTACACAGTAAACTCAAATCACATCTTTACGCTATCATTCCTCTGCTTATCTCTCACACACATGATGTGAGAGGTGCATGTTGGACTTTGTTACCAGTGTCCTTGTTTCTCTAACCTGCCTACCAGTGCTTTGCTTTCCAGAGACACTGTACTGCTTTCTTTCCATGCTGTTGGTGTCTGACTGCATCGTGCTGCCAACTTGTCTTGGGTACCCTTGGCAATTGGCACGCTCCTGATAGCAGCCCAGGATTGTGTTCCTTTTAATCCACACTACAAACACATTTTCTTCAAGTGTTCTTGAGAGAACATTTAATTCAGTCCCTATGAATATTTGGCTATGACTGAAGACTGCTCTTTGGAAGTAATCCTAATCGCAGACATCTGTGCCAGACTTTGCTTCAGCACAGACTATGTTTGAGGTGCTGGCTTCGATCCGCAGGGACACTGTTGACCTGCAGCACTGGCTGGGGTGTGGGGACTCGCATTTGGATTTGGTGTGGATACAGTCTGGAAACAATCTAGGGAGGATTCTATCAGTTGGTTGTAGGGGTTTTTTTTTTTTTTAATTTGTTTTGTTTTTTGCTGGTTCATGGAGCAACTGTCACACATTTATTAAGGGACTGCGGCTCACCCCTCACTCCTGTGAGGAGAGGCTAAGGGAGCTGGGATTGCTCAGCCTGGAGAAGAGAGGGTCTTGTCCATGTCCATATGTCCAAATACCTGAAGTGAGAATGCAGAGAGGATGGATCCAGGCTTTGTTCAGTGATGCCCCGAGATGAGCAAGAAGTGATGGGCACAAACTGACACATGGGAGGTTCCTTCTGAATGTTAGGAAGCACTTGTGTGCTGTATGAGTGGCACAGGTTGCCTGGAAAGGTTGTGGAGTTTCCTCCTCAGAGGTCTTCAAAAGCCACCTGGACATGGTGCTGGGTACACTGCTCTGGGTGGACCTAGAAGTCCCTTCTAGCCCTAACTGTTCTGCAAATCTGTGAAATCTTTCATGCAGGCTTTGTTTCAACAACACAAAGCAATGATGTGACTCAAAGTGTTGCACAGAAGACCAACATTTCTTCCAGTATTCAGCACTGCCCTTCTGTTGTCCTACTCCTGCCCACTGAAGGGTCGTTGCTGCAGCATGAGGCCCTGAGTCCTGTGCTCTTGCTGCCTCTGGGTGGGTCTTGGGCAAGCAAATTTCTGCCAGGCACAGTAAGCCTGCCACTGGATGCCGGTACTGAACATCCCTCGGAGCGTCCATTGGCTGTGCCTGATGTGCATGCACGTGCTGGCTCTGTTGGGTGCCGCTTAGGATAAGAACAAATGAATTACAAGATACCAGGACACTGTGGAGAGCAAATAGGGAGCTGTGGGGTGCAGTAGGCCCACACTGGCCCTCTTGCCTAAGGAAACAAAAGGGAGGGGATCGCTTGACAGAAGGGATACGTTTTCAGGGCAACCCTAGCAGATATAAAGTCTAAAAGCAGTAAAGCCGGGGTTACCAAGGAGATGAGCAGGTGTGGGCTGTTTATTTGAAGGGGTTGAGAGTGATGGGGAGGAGTAAGAAGGGAGATGCCGTGGGGGTGGGAGGTGAGCATCCCAGTGGCTGCCACCACTGCTGCTTGGTGCTGAACAGCTGCTGAGTTGTCACAATCCTGGCTTTGCAAATAAAAAGTTTGCTATATGACTGTGTTTGTTGCGTGCAGCAGACTATGCTGGTTACATTTTCTGCTATAAATGAGAGCTGGAGCAGTCCGTCCCGTGGAGGCATAGCGGTGACAGATGCCCTGCTGTGCTCCTGCCAGGACGAGCTGTGTGTGCACGGTGAGAACGCTTAAGTGAAGGGTGAATACAGCAAGGGGAATTTAGAACAAAAAGGGCACTGACTTGGGGTGACGCCCGCGATTCTAATTCTGCAACGTTTCTAAGCGAAGCAGCGGCAGCTCGCTGCCTCAGGGCTCATTGCCTATCTGACGGCTCTGATTACTCAATAACCCTTCCGCTCACTTGTACCACCGTTAATGTCCACGAAACTCAACATATCATCAATGCATGTATGTTGTGGTACCAGAGGCATCGGGCGCCACAGGTCTCCACAGGTCTGACGGCGCTCCGTCCGGCCCCAGCCCCCAACTTCACACCAAACCCGCCTGCGATACCCGCGCAGCACCGCCACACACACGCCGCGCTGCGCATGCGCCATCGAACAGGGCAGGGCAGGACGGCCGCAGGGGGGCGCTGCGCGCGTGGCGGAGCCCCGCCCTCCTCCTTCCGCCGGGCCCTCAGCCCCGCCTCTCCCTGGCGGCGGGTGGCGGCGCCGCAGCGAGGCGGCCATTTTGTGGCGCTGCGCGGTCGGTGGCGCTGGGCTCGGCGCGGCGCGGGGCCCGGGAGCGGCGTTGGCGCCGTTCTTAACCCTTTTTCCCTTACGGATCCCTCGGTAAGAGCGCTGCGCCATCCGGGCGGGTTGAGCACT